GCAAACTGTTGTACATACATGTACATTTACTTATGTACATGTACTTTCAAATTATTGGTGCACTGTAAGTCTTGCAACCAGTACATAAATTGTACACCAGAACATTTTTAAAACCACAATTTTAACTGCGCATTCTCCACAAAACAATGCCCTTTCCTTCCTTGACAAACAAGTACTGCGTGTGCACATGTCCAGAGTTCTACAATGATACCGTAATTCATTTGTTCCTTGAAGTTTATCTTTCTTTGGCTTCAAGCCCCTAAACTCTGAAAAGAAGACTACATGCAATCCACACACTCCGGTACATGCACATGTACATCAAACATGTACATCCGCTGCAGAGGGAGTGAGTTTATTTTGGCAGGGTTATGTACACACATGCACATGCACATGTACCCAATCATCTGTCTCATCCTTCTCTAACCAGGAGGTCAAACAAATGCTGACTGTAGTACATGTACCGTTATTAATGACAAGGAGTAGAACATTACGCTTAACAATAACTATAAATTATTCTCAGCGGAGGGAGCTTTTTCCTGATATTTCTCCTTGTTGACTGACCTTCTTTGAGTTAATCAGCATTTCTGTATTTACCACTGGATGGGTGTGTACTTAGAGAACTTCCCAAACTGTGACATGGGGGGGCTTGAATTTTTCTAGCACGGTCATGAATCTTTGTGAATTATGCATGTACACATTTAACATGATTTCACCAAACGGTTCCTTGCTTCATGCATACATCAGTATAAAATCAGCCAGGTCGAGGCAAAAATGTTTCTAAATGTTCATAAAATAAAAAATAAATGTACACCAATTCATACCATATAGTGATGCATAATTAAAAAAACTGGAAGCTTCATAACAACTATTCAGCTTATTTGTCCGCTGGTCTACATGCTGATTTGCCCACAGTACACAAATCATTAAATTCTACTTTTGTCAGGTAGCTTTCAAAATGTGGGTTCTTGTACATTGTAATAAAAAATTAACTTTTGACAACAACTGAAAGTGAAAGAGGAAAAAAACTCATGTAGTGCCTTAAGCAAATAATTTGTAAACCCAAAAATATCACTCCGAAAGTGTTCCTGTGACTTTGCTGTAAGGGCAAAACGAACTGCAAAACTGCAACCCTTAAACACAGGAGGAAACACACTCGACAGTGTTTTCATTTGATATCTTTAGTAGGCTCAATGATTTCACTTTCCACTTTGAGCAAATAACATTTTACAAAATAAGCCAACAAATAAAAGCATTTGAAAAATTTCTACATATTTTTACTGTCACTAATGAAAATAAGTTTGATTAAGCCTAAAAGAATTTCTGCGTATGTTGCCGGGGCAAAAATCTCGGAACACAGTGCCCCAACACTGTTAGTGGGACAAGGCCATAAATTGCTGCATATTTTTCGGCTGCTTGACATCTTGGGGATAAACATGGCAATCAAAGGAGCCAAGGTTTGCAACACATTTGGACAGAGTGTGTCTAAACAGTGAAGATAGGGGGTAGGATGTGGACAGAGAGTAGCAGCCCTTTTGTCAGAAGTCACTGATTGATTGGATGATTGGATTGTGGCTGATTGGGCTTTGGAATGGGTGCAGGTTTATTCCCGGACAAATGCCAAGACGTGGCCGATGACACTGGATTATAAAAGTAAAAACAAGGGTTCATGCATAAAAACACGGGGCAATAGTTTATATCACACACAATTTACATGAATTTTCTCTGTCGATTATCAGTATTCCATGTCTCATTTCCTTCATAGCGCATCCCGTCGACATGGTCAACGACATTTGTTTTCTCAGGAAATTGCAGATTTTGGAGTGTAACAAAATTGGACATACACTGTACCGGTATTTCATCAATGAATATTCTTTCATCCCTTTGAGAAGAGTATTTTGGGCAGGTCTGAGTCACTGACCTGAATTTTTTAAATATTTGGCTCTGTAATTCACACTTTCCGTTTTTCTGTAAAGCTGTCACAATCACTTTGTAGCTCAGTCCCCGAAATGAAGTGCGATTTCCCCATGGCAGGTCCAAATAATAAAATCCCATTTCCGGATTAAATGTAAAAGCTTGAATAGGCACTGTTTGCTATTTGATTACAAATTGAGGGTAAACATGATATAATGGTCCTGACTCATGGATTGATAGGCTTTTGTGTATTATAAACGTACCTACCGTGTACAGTATATACACTGACTGGACAAGCGAAACTGGTGATTGAACAACTTATAAGTGTTAGCGTAAAAAAATTTCTGCACTGACAAAGTACCAGCAAAGTATACAAATTTTGCACAAATGAATGTGTAACTCCAACACTTCCGAGTATCAGAATTTAAGTAACCAGTCACATACGTAATGCAATTTACAAATGTACAGCTACCGTACCCACATGTCTACAGGTGTTTTGGGCTTGACAGTCACACGTTAGAACAAACTTGTAATTGTACTGTACAGGTGTTGGGTGCATGTACATGTACATGTACCTAAGAATATGCACGAAGGTACACATGCACACATGTACTTGGCACACATGTCAACTTCAAGTCCCCCCTCCAACCCCATGTACCCAAACATGTACATACTGGTACATGCACATGTACATGTAGGCTACATCTGACAGTCTGACACAGCCAGGAACTGACAGTGCACTGTGTACATCGTGTTGTACCAATCACTACCATGGAGCTAACGGATTGTACAGACAGTCAAAACCCAGGGTATTTTAGCTAAATTGTGTACAGGGTCATGTCAATTTCATGGATGTACATATATTCTTGAACCAAAAAATACAGTACATGTACTTCTGCACTGTGCAGCTTATAAGCTGCTGAAACAACTCTGTAGGTCGCTGAGCTACCGGATATTAAAACGGAGAATGAGATCAGAGTTTTGTCATTTTTTTAAACATGTACTGTATCTCTGCATCAGTGAGAATAACTGAAAATGACACGGTGTCCGTCATGGTACGGCACAATTACAGTGTTTGGAGGAAAAAGGTATGAAGCTGGAAAAAAAGTGGCATTTACATAGAAATAATGCAAGGTAAATGTATACGTGTATAATAATAATACATTGTGTACATGTAAAATAATAACTACATGTATGTACATTCCTTACTTATACAATGAGGAAAACGGGTACAAAATTTCACAGTTGAAGCAAACTGCATAAGAGTAATAGTGGGAGGTGTGGGAGAAACACATGCACGTACATGTGTGTAAATGTAATGCACCTCCTTGCAAAGGAGGCACCAGACTGTACAAACACTCAATACTGTTAAACTGATCTCTGCTTTTCAAGGGTAGAATCTCGAGCAAGGGTACATTCTTGTACTTTTACTGTGCAAGCAATTAAAAACTTCTCGCACACACAAGTTAAAACCTGTCTGATGCCTACAAGTGCATCCAGATCAAACATGTTTGCTACCGGGGTAGCAAGATCAGTCCTTGACTTAAATTCCCCTCAGAGGGTCAATATTTGGAAGAGAATCTATCCTGGCTTTTTTGGTGAGCTTGAAGTCAAAGGATCCCAACAGCAAACACTGGTTTCAGTTTCACAGGCAAATACTGTTATTTTCACTGCCTTTAGGGAAAGTGCTTTACACGAATACACTCACATGTAATACCTAATAAATCTGAACATGTACACATTCACAAGTACAGTATGTACACTGTATGGCACAGTTGCTACCATTCATGATGAAAAACTTATAAATGTACACTATAATACTGTAGCGAAATACATGAAATACGGTAGCTTATGTAGATATAGGAGCAGTCCTTGTACGTTTTCTGACAACAAAAATTTGTAGTAATGGGTGCAATTCTTCCTTGCCAAAGAGTTGTGCGGAGTATGAAAGGATGAAACTGTGCGTGCACACAGTACAGTAATTGTGGCATTATTATGACTTAATCTGGATGACTCATTCATCTAAGCCAGAGAGTAAACAGAGGACTGCAGTAATTGGGCATTCACGCAGCAGAGATTGTCAATAGATGTCTACAGTGTACCGGCACAGAATAGTGTACGTGGACATGCATTGAGCGCAGCATTAATTTCAAAGATCATTCGTGCCACAAAAACCACAAGCACGTTATACAGGGGACAATATTTTTAACCACAGTTTAGCAAACCAGCAAATTCCTGGTGGGGAGCCACGTGTTCTTTTAGGGAAAGCCCAATGAAATTTAATCTGGTAATCCTGTGATGCGGCACTTAGTCAGTAATAAAAGGTTTAGTGGGCGTCATTATCAGTGAGTCAGGGGTCTAACAGTATTCAAATATCAATTAGAAGCTATACAGGGGGCTAGGGGACTGGATCTTGTAAAAACACTCAGCCACTAAATGCCGGGTAATTGATCCATCATCCTTGAAACTGCCAAGAAGACTACGCACTGGACATGCGTACATGTACACTGTACTGCAGGCATCCTCACTGTTAAACACTGATGAGGACATTCAAACATCTTGTGAAAACAGAGCAGTTCACATGTGTGTGGCTTTAATCCATTCTCACTGTAGGCTGAAGTGGTCACATTCCATCACTTGTGCAGCTCTACATGTCCGCACGTACATGTACATACAATGCAGACTATGCCTATACTATCTACATGTACGACAAACGTTAGGTGATGTACATGTACAGTGTACACTGTACCACAAAATGCTGTCAGGCTGTGGTTGTAGATTAACTTGGGTGTATGATGATTCTTCAGACAGAACACTGATAGCCACCCTGCAGTGGATTGTCTTTCAATCCCCAACTTTACAATATTAATGCATGAAGCACTATGAGATCACATTCAATTTAGACTTACCAGTACTCAGTATTGTGAACTGAAACAATAGAAATCATGGGCAATTTTTGAAATGAGTCTTAACGGGAATCATATCGAATACAACACAAGAAGGAAGTCACAGGGGCACCTGCAAAAACTGAAGTGTTTTCCCCAGAGAAAAATAACATGACAATAGGGTGAACTGCACTTTGCTCCTACCTCAGAAATGTTAGGTTGTGGTGGACAGCAACACAGGCCAAACACGACACTGATTGGCAGAAATTGTTGGACCGGTAGGTAAGAATCCCTGGTATCCAAAATGATCACCCACCGAAAGACTTTCACTTTGACAGAACAGGAGTCGGGGAATCCATGTGGGGGTAAAATCCAATCCAAAAGGAGGCAACTTCACACCAGATTGAAGAAGTACAACAAACACACAAGATCGAAGGGCTGTATCACAAATGAGCCTGTTCTTGATTGCTATCCACAAACTCTATGCGATGTACCCAATGCCCCAATATTTTTCTGCTGTGTCGATGACAGAACAACTTGACAGAAATCTGGAATCCCGTCACTTGCAGAGGTTCGATATGGCACTGTCTGGAGTGACTAATGGATGAGGCACAAATGTTGGTATGCCATATCATAACTGACTGGCCAGGACAAAAATATACCAAGTATGGACTCCTCCATTTTAACGGAAGGGGGTGGGTCCTCTGCAGTGCCCAAGGGGAGGGGGGTTGTTAATAATTAGGATCGCAAGAAATGCCTGGTCAATAATTGAGCCGGTAATAATGCCCACGAATTAGATTATATTTTGGTCAGATTTCTGACCGGTGGAGCTGAGTCACCTGATGCATAACATGCAGTTTTATTATTAGGGCCTACTTCTTTTTTATCAAAGGCACTCCTCCAGTTCTGCCACTGTTTTATTTGTTCCCAACAGCATCTACATTTAAGAAGCAACCAGGGGCCAATTTCATAGAGCTGCTTAGGCACAGAATTTGCTTAAGCATGAAAAAACCTTGCTTGACAAATCAGGTTACCAGCCAAAATTCCATGTGATGTATATTTGTTTGGAACGGTACTCACCTGTCTTTTGGTTTGCCTGACAATCACATAGATTTTAAGCAGGTAACCATTATTTTTTAAACAAGATTTTTTTGTGCTTAAGCAGATTTTGTGCTTAAGCAGCTCGATGAAATTGGCCCCAGTAGATAAAACAATGAGTAAAATTGTTGGCTTCATGACAGATGTCCATCACAAACTTGGGGAAAAAAAGGCTTTCCAATGAATTCACGGTCTAGTTCTTTGATACAATTTTCCCTGTACACGCTTACTGTAGACAATTTCCTGTTCAGCTGGTTTTGTTAACACTTTCTAGAACTACATGTGCATATTTTTGTATTTCAAAAAGACTGAATACTATAAAACTATACATTTTTAGAATTCAAAGAATGTCGCAGGATGAAAAAAAAATGGAAAAACATCCATCTTTTGTATGTAAATCATGCATCCTGTACATGAACATGCAACAATATACGGTACATGTATGCAGAAGTACATGTACATGTACATGTATGTTGTTATTCCACTGTGGCCATCCGGAAACTCCTGTTTTGTTATTAAAATAATAAAATATATGTGGAATAATTCCATAAACAAACCACCACCCTCTCAGCTTTGCTTATGGTCCACAGAGTCTTTTCCTCATACGAACCGTACTACAGTACACTGTGCATATTTCAAGGCAGGGAACACTTTAATAAATGAAACAGCGAGACATGTAATGATACGCAGGACAGCGCCAGTGGAAGAAAAGTGTCCCACAGGGTCATCTGCCCTTTTAACATCTGTGCATCATTAAGCCTCTGATGTCTGCGAAAAAGACAAGGGGGTCACATAGCCGACCTCGGGATATATACGCCAATGGGTCAAAGGTTATGTTTACTGCTTGAATTTCTCCCCAAAATAATGAAAAAAAGGAGAAGTGCAAAAACATATGCTGATTGCAATCACAGGGGCTGGAGATACTACTGCACGCAATACAGGCATTTAGCCAACCCATGCGATTTGCATACAAGCATTTGTGCACCTGTAGCCATGTACAGGGGTATAATGCAAGTAAATGCATACATATGAAATATGAGATGCAACCTCAATGCAAAACAGATCACGAGACACTCAGGTTCAACCTACATGTAAATGTGCAGGGAAGTCTAGCTTCAGATGAACTGTCCTGGTTTTATTTTACATACTGTAAGGCTACATGTGCACAAGTAATCAGTGATGATGAGCACATCCATTACATGATTATGTTTAGTGGTACAAACACATATGCCATTTTTTGAAAATTTCTCAGTGGATTAGGTAATTCTGTTTGGTTTCCTGGTCCATGCTGCATTCATGTACAAGGGACGCAAACCTTATTCACACTTAAAGCATGCAACTATCTTGTAAGAGAAATTCATGTGTACCCTTTTGAACAACAAATGCTGCAACAAATACTTCAAAATCTACTGCACCACAAAATCAAAATTGTTTTTGGTATTAAGAGCACCTCTAAAGACAACTCCTGTGTTGGGAGGGGGCTAGATACATGTAGGATGTACATGTACTTAGTGGACATTGACCAATTGCTTCCTACATGTAAAATGCCCTCTCATCTTCTACCTCAGGACTGCACTGTTTCCTGGCTCTCCTTGTCTGGGACAAATTGGCCCTTGTGCTCAGTCTGAGTCCAGCACTTGGGTCAATGGGAGCCAGTGTTTCACCCCCAGAAGGCGTGACTCAACCGGGATCAGGAAGGGAATGTGAATGGATTACAGGTGGAGACTTTAATCAGGAAGGCATAGGCAGAAGTAAAGTAGTCTGTATTTTATATGGGGAGAAAATCAGAGGGTGTGTCTGCCATGCCAGTCTCTTTATCCCATAAAGTGTCTGGATAAGATGTACATGTATGTACATAGCAATTTACCTTTTTCCACCAATTTTTGTGACATGAAGTTTTAGCTGAATGCCTTTTCTTGAAACCATACCGGCTTATGACTGAGGCAAGCAACAAGTAAAACTTAAGAGACCCTCACAAAAAAGCCTCCTATGCACAAGTGAGCCACGCAAGTGCCCTGCGTAGGTAAGTAGCCTACTGGTATATGGTAGGGTGCTAACTGATTTACTTCTAATGGACAGTATTAATAGTGTGGGGTGCTCTAATTGGTCTTTAGAGAATTGGTTACAGTTATTCTATAATTAGTCTGGGTGACAAAGCAAACAAGCCAAGCATGGAAGGCACAACACAACAGTCTTGTGTTGTGAAATTGACCGCGAAGTGATGGAGTGACCACCCACAGAAGGGGCCAGGTGGAGGGATAACAGTTTGTATTGTTCAGTGTACAATCTAAAACCACAACCACAAGTTTGGGAAACCATTTATTAAAAGAGGCAATGTCTACTTAGGGAAGGAGGCACTGTATGAACCCTATTGCAATGAGCAAATCCTCAAATTGAGGCATAATTCTGGATCTTTCTAAGTAATTATTAGACCTATGTAATTATTTCAAAGTGTATTCACCTCTGCAAAGTGTGAGAGGATACATCATTCTGTACTTCAAATGAGAAATTAACACATGGTTGCATAATAGTCAAATATTTCTGGAATAAATTTCTGCATTTTTTTATCTACACATCTATATAGGTAAATGGACATCAGCTACGAATTTCAAAGGTTTGATCACATCTGTAATTACCATAATGCTGGTGTGCAATGCTGATTGTAAGCAAGGCACAGTGGTAACAGACTTTGCCATCTGAAATCCATATTTCGCACTCACACACAATGCACTGCACCTGCAGCTTGCATGTCTGGTGTTTAAAAATAACATTCGCTGTCACTTTCACATTACTATCTCTCACCTGCTTTTCCGTGCTGCCTACCAATAGTGATAACAACGTGGCTGATTTCTGTAACAAACCACTGCGGCCAAGTACCTACATGTACATGTACATTGTACAGTTGTACTTCTGAATGTTCAAGTACATGTGCTAGCAGAGAAATATCTTGAAAGCTTTTCACCTGGTCGAAATTTTCAAGTGGCTATCCAATCCATAGGCAATAATGTAAATCCGGCTCATGGCATGTGCCTGCACTGACAGTGCTGTCCAATTGTGCCTTACACTGAACCACCTCTGGCTTCACAATCAATAATAAATCTACAGCAGATTAATTTACTCACTCAATGCGAGGGAGACAAGCAATTGACACCACAAGCTGGGTATCGTGCTACAGGGTGGACAAGTCTGACCTGCAGAGGGCTCACTCCGAGATTTATGGACAGTGACAGTGTGCATTCTCCGTGCATGACAGGTGAAATTCCTCTCTGGTGAGTCAACTGTATAGTCCACAGGACTCGCCATGCACAATAGCAAAGGCCAATTCAGGGCACAGAATTGATTCTGACAGTAACATGCAGTGAGTCCTGCAAATCTGTTTTTCCAAAGCTACACTGGGGTATACATGACAAATCTCACATTTCACACACCCACACTCTGCATGATTCTACAGACTTGAATTAGGCAACTGGTGAGCAGAATACAATAACAAGTCTCTTGTGTGGCTGGGTGCAAATTGCATATAATGCAACTTCTTCTGGAGGACTGCCCTTAACACAGATGACGCATCCATCTCGTTTCCATGACAACAAATTTGTAAACTGATGATTCATCTCTCAAGAAATACAGAGCGGCAACCTGTCAACAGACTCCTGGCAAATGGGTAAATGAACCTTCTTCGTGACATCAAGTTTGGCTCAAAGGCAAACAAAAACACCAGGAATTCGTGGGAATACATGTGAATGAGGCAGGTAAATTTGGTCATCAAAAGGACAAGCTCTTTTCATCTGGGAAACAGTAATCACATTTTAAAAACCTGAAAGCCTACCGGGGTATAAGAACATCGCAAGATAGTACAAAGGCCAAGACCGGGCAACAGTGGCCATGGTCTCTGTGACCCTATTACTCAGGGTCTTACCATTTTTGCTGGTACCGGGTATCTATCTACATACATGTACATAATGAACAAAACAAAACAGAATTTTGCTGACAAATACAAACATGTACATGTACCTACAGTAAAAGTGCAACTCATGTCAGGACACCACTACTGTACATGGTCAGTTCACATTTTCTGCACGCATTCATGCTTTCTGAAGCTGTTCATCAAAGACAACTATGAACCCATACAGTGTGTTGTACATCAGAGTTTGTATTCACACTGGTGGAATGTGTCAGTTTTTCACTGTGAGCATAATTCAATTTTCTTGCAGCCTTTCCGGCATGAGGTCTCAAGTGACTCAAAATCTGGGGTTTTTTTTGGCCCGATTGTCAGTTCTGTCCCCTCGCTCTCTGAAGTAGGCGGAGCTTGGCAACAGCCTCTGTCAGGGAAAGAATTGGACCACGGGTGGGCTGGATGCAAGTTAACCCAATAACCTTGGGCTGTGCTGCTCTAGGGAGGGCATGATGTTCAGCGAGGGAAGTCAGGCAGGAGGGATCAGAAATGGCAAATCTCTGCTGAGGTTATTGCTGTAAAGCAAGCGTAAAATGAATTCGTCCAAGCTGAAATCCATCTATAG